AAAATATGTGGTTAAAAATAAGGAAAATTATTTTGTTTACGTGTAATATTATTTTAATGAAAAACGTATGATTGAAAAAAAAAGAAGGAAAAATGTATTTTTAATAAAAATTAGAATCAAACAAAGCCCATGATATACTTATAATCCTTAAAATGAAAAATAATTTTTTGACATTTTTAGTATTTGGTAATCATTTTTTTTTTCTTTTTTGAGTGTTTGAATAAAATTAAAGTTACTAAGCCCTATTTGTCAGCTATTATTTTATATTTTACCACATTATTTTTTTATAATACTCATTTTTAACCATACTTTTTTATTAAAATAATATTACACACAATTCGAATTTTTTTTTCTTTTTTTAATCACACATTCTCCACTAATCTATTATTTCATTATACATTTTTCAAAATTAAAGAGCTCAAATACATCCTCAAGCTATAATACGATAAAAATGAGTAGTAGATGAGTGAAATATAGCCCTTGTTTGAGCCTTATTTTTTGAAAAAAATACATTCTTAAACAATGTTTGATATCATTTCGATTATACATTTTCAATAAAATAATATTAAACGCAACTATAAAAAAAAAAAAATTAAACGCAAATAAAAAAAATTTCTTTATTTTTTAACAACACATTTCCTATCAATAAACTATTTAAAAATATATTCTTTTATTCAAAATGGAGATCAGACAAGGACATAGTCGTAAATTCAACTATGATTAAATTCAACTATGATTAAAGTTGATTTTAAAAAATACTGTAAGTTATTTTTAAGGTTTCCAAACTTCGAAATTTCAATCTGCAATAAGATGATGACTTTCTAGTTTCATCCAAAGTCAAGATTCAAGAAATTCATCAATTGACTCAGATTTCCACGTCTTTCTCCTCCTGTCGAATGAATCAAGACAATTACACTGTAAAACCCACCTTTGGTTGGAAATAAGATCTCTGCTGGGATCCTTATCGGGGAATTTCCTCTTTCATAGATACACTTTTTTAAAGGATAAAACCAGTGCTACCAAACCAAAATTGATGACTCCATTTCTTATCTTCAGCCGAATTTGAAATGGAATCACTCTTTAAACAGTCGCTTCTTCTACTCCTAACTCTCAATTCCTTAATCTACTTTGCCTTCTCCGAAATCTTCTTCGAAGAGCGCTTTAATGGTAAGTAAGAATTCACACTAAATGAATTGTGAT